GTTGCGAGGGTGGCGGAGGTGGACTGGGGGCCGCCCCTGCTGCTGAGAAGTCGGGGGAGCCCGCTCGGTCGGCAGGGGCTCCTGGGACCCCAGGACATGGCAGGCCTAGTTTACAGGAGCACGGGCCCGGAAGGCAGGTCCCTTTTTTTCTAATTTTCTAACACGCACAGGGAGCAGGGCTCCGGGGGGAGCAGGCCCAGACCTTCCAACACCAATGGCCGTGACAGGCCCATAGCACAGGGTGGCCACTCCCTCACTCCAACCTGCCCTCCATGCTCTCTCCTCCGTGACTTTTCCAGAACCTTCCACACCATCGCACATGCCCCTTCTTGCCCATCTCTCTGCCCGGGAAGGCTCGGTGGGGCCCCAGCCTACTGCACCCGCTCAGGGATCCTGGGACTGGCCCTGCTCACCAGCCCCTGGTCTGGGAGGGACTCGGTTCCTGGGTTGTCTGGGGAGTCTGTGTGTCCTGCACGCTCTGGTGTGGTTCCCTCAAGAAGGTAGCCCGTCAGGTGTGCCCGCCCAGGTCACCTGTCCCCCCGAGGTGGGACGGCAGCCGCCGTGCAGCGAGAGCAAGAAAACCCCGGCCAGGAGGAGGACAGAGACCCTGAGGCCCTCCCAGCTCACGCCCAGGGAAGCCCCGCCCTGGAAAACAAAAACACCCGTGTTGGAAAAAGTCCTGCCTTTCTACCACGGCCTCTTTATGTTTTTTAATGAAAAAGAACGACTGTCCCCACCCGGCCGAGCACCTGTGACACCACATCCCTGCAGGTTGTCCCCGCCCGGGAACCTGCTTGGGTCAGAACCAGCCCACGGTTACCTGATGACCCTTCCGTCCTCCACGTAGTACTGCACCCTGAGGAAGGCCACAAAGGGGGCGTCGGCCCTGCCGCCTTCCTGGGAGGGGGTGTGGGGAGATGGCCGCCCTGAGGCCTCAGGGGAGGGCAGGCCGCCACCTCCGCCCCCAAGACCCAGCCCGAGCCTTAAGCTCAGGTCTGTACTGCTTGCCGGGCAGCTCGTGCTTTCATGTCACTTTGTTCAAAGGAAAAGCCGAGTGAATGTGGCCCAGAACGTTCAAGAGCCTCCCCTGCCCCCTCGGGCCGGCCTGCCTGCCCCCAGCGGGCTCCGCACCGGACTCGGGGCAGCGGTTCCCCCCACCCCCCATCGGCATTTGCACTTACTCTGTGCATCTCTCTCTTCCAGTCCTTGGAGAAGTACTTGCTGAGCTTCTGCTCCAAGTCCACAAAGACGTACTCGCCATCTGGAAAGAGAAGCAGGTCCTTCAGCAGAGCCGGGAGGGGCTCGCGCGAGGCGGCGTCCTGGGGGCGGCAGTCCACCAGTGCGTCGGGGGACGGCGTCCAGGTGCCAAATGCTGCTGGCTTCCCAGACGGTTCCCAGAGTGTAGGGATATTGGCTACGGAGACCTAGATGTTGGACCGAGACGCTGAACTGGGACCGAGGCTGCTACACGCTGCAGACACAGCCTCGGAGGGCGGGGGCAGCGCGGCAAGACACGTCCAGGGGTCTCCCCTCAACCAGCGGCCCCTCTCCCAGCTGTGGAACGAGTCCTTTGAAGACAGAAGTGCCTTAAACCTGGAACCAAATACGGCGACTTCAAGTCAACAATCAGGTGAACGAGCCACATCGGGAGGGGGTCACTGGACATGCTTCTTTCTAAATTCTGTGCTCTGTGTTTTTGGAATATTATGACCATGTGTTTCCTTTCCGAGCTGGAAAAGAATGAGATTGTCCTAGTGATGAGCCTGAAGCCAAAGCCATCCCTCCGGTTACTCTGGGAACCAGGCGACCCGCAGGCCCTCGACAGCAGGCACAGACAGGGCAGGGCCGGGGACCCGCTAGTGCTGGCCATGTAGGGGGGGCGAGGCACAGGGCTGCCCACGCCACCCAGCAGCCCCGGCCTCGGGAGGTGTCTCCGGGTCACCAGCCCCCCCCGGGTCCTGACAGGCAGCGAGGCAGGAGGGAGGTTTCTGTCTCCCCATTCTCACCAGGACAGGACGTTGCTCCTGCTGTGTGAACTGTCCCCCCAGATTCACATGTTGGAGCCTCAACCCCAGGACCTTAGAACGTGACTGTGTTTGTGATGGCCGCCCCACGGCCGTCACATTGTGAGAGACTCTCTCTCTCTCTCTCTCTCGACTTCAGCACAGACACCCCCTCAAACACACACACCCTGCTGTTCGTGCCTGTCTGTGATGACAACAACTTTGGTTCCATGAGGCAGGAACACGTCTAGAACAAGATGACAGATGTGTGACACAGACACACTTCCTTCTCCCCAAATAAATCAAGCATCTGAGAAACACTCTTTTCCTGACTTGTCGTCTGTGAGGACCCGGACACGGAGCCCGGCGTCCAACGGCTGAGAGGGTGGTTCTGGACAAAAAAGAATCAAACTGGGGCAAAGCTACCCGTAACTCAGCTCTCCCTGCACAGTGGGGAGAGTCCGCTAATACGAAAATTTGGTGGCACAACCGAGAAAAACAGCAGAAAAGGGGGTTGTCCTGAGCTCCATCCCCTCCCCTGGGGGCCAGCCTGGGCGTCTGACACAGGACACCCCAAATCCACCCCGGGGGAGCCTGGCTGAGTCTAAATGCAGGAATGCCCATCAGGACTCCACCTTCCCAACCCTAACCCGCCTGGTCCTTCCTCGCGGCCCGGCTTGCTTTCCCCTCTTGAGGGACTCGGTCACCCTGAGATGGAACCTCGGGCTCCAAGGAGAGCCTGGCGAGGATGGGAAACAACCCAGGGACAAGCCCTGCCCCTCATCTCTGTGCCCGGGGCCCTGACGGGTCAGGCGGCCCGACCACAGACCCTCCTCTGCCGGCCACTCGAGGGAACCAACATGGGGAGAAGAGCTGGGACATTGCACAAGGGCCACTGTGCAATGCATTGCACAGCTGACTCTCTTGCAGAAAGACTTAAAAATCTGCAGGACAAGCCGCTATGGCAGGGGCCCGGTCTTCAGTGCCCCGTGTTCCCATCCCTCACTCGTGCCCCGACCTGGACACTGGCAAGCTTGTCCCCCGCCCACTGCGTCTCTCACACACGCAGCCCCTGGGCCACCTGCTCTGTCCCTGCCCTCATCCCCCCATCCTAGGGTCTGCAGAGGCCTGCTGTGGGGGCCACAGAGGGAGCCCGGGACGGGAAGACAAGGCAGGCTGCCCACACCGGGATGCCAGCAAGGCCACTCAGGGGTTTGCACACATCAGACCCACTGGAGGCCCTGTCAGGCCCGTGGCTCTGCAATGGACCCCTGTGGACCAGCGGACCCTGCCCGGGGTGCCAGCTCCCTGCTCTCTCCAGAAAGAACCAGCGTGAACGACAGTCTGCCCACCCTTGTTCTCCTGAGGAGACTGTGTGAGTGTGCAAGCGTGTGCGTGTGTGAGGGCCAGGATGTGTGCAAGTGTGTGCATGGGACTGTGTGTATAGGTGTGAGTGCATGAGTGTGCCAGTGATTGTGGGGGTGTGGGAGTGCATGCACATGAGTGCGTGAATGTGTGTGTGAGTGTGTAAATGTTCATGTTTTGTGCATAAATACTTGTGTGTGAATGAGAGTGTAAGTGCATGTGAGTATATAACTGTGGGTATGTGTGAGTGAGCGTGTGTGCACGTGTATGCTCAGATGCAGTGAGGAGGAGTCGCCCAGATGGCCGGAGTGCCCGCTGGAACACGTGGGCACCGAGGGGCACCAGGCCGAGGCCCGGGGTCTCCTTTGGACTCTCCCTGAGACCACCCACTCCTGCCCAGGGAGGAGGCCAGGTCCTGGGGTCGTCCGGGCTGAGCTTGCTTACTTCTGACCACGCTGAGGCCAAAGAAGTGGGTCCCTCTGATGCTGGTCTTGTCACACACCTGCTGGAAGAGCTCGCGCCCGGTGGCCTGCACCTGCGAAAGGAAAGGGGGTCGGCGCTCAGGGCATGGGCCGGGGTGGCCCCCAGCAGCAGCGGGCGGTCCTCAGAGCGGGGAGACCACCGAGCGCGGCTGGTGCGCTGGGGGGTTCGTTTGGGCTGCTTCCCACCCAGCGGAGGCAGCACTGGGGTCCCTGATGACCTCCCCAGCTGACAGCATGACGTCCCCCCAGCTCAGTGGGCTGCCCGTGAAAGAACGGGGTGTGAGCGGGTGTGGGGGCCTGGAGGCCATGCTTGACCCTGGGGCTGGAGCCTGCTCCCTCTGCCCCTGGACTGTGTACTCGGGGCATCCAAGGATGGGGGGTGGCGGATGCTCTGTGGCCCCCACCTCGCATCCCACTGGCCTTTTTCCTCACCCTAAGCCAGGCAACCCTGAAAGTGGGGCTGGGGCCTGGACACACCTGGAGGGGTGTGTTGTGCGTGGGGAGGCCCATGTCCCCTCCAAGCACCCCCTCTGCCCACAAGTACCCCTGCTGGGCTTCAGGCCCCAGGCTGAGCCCCCAACCTCATCACCTTCTCCCTTCTCCCGGCTCCCACGCCACCCCCAGGCTTGGGAGCAGGTGTCTGTCCTCTGTGCACACACAGGGAATGGCTGCCGCCTGGCTCAATGCAATCTATTATCCAATCTATTACCCCTTATCCAAAAATACTTCATTATGCCTAAACACTGAACAACTTAATAGCAAACACCCCATAAGTGCAAATTTCCAGTTGTCTCCTAATGGTCAGCATTTTTTGTGCTTTGCTGATTTGAATCAGGACTCAGGGAAGGTCCCGTCCCACGCCCTTTCCCTGCCCGTTGCTTTGCGGGACACACGGATCCTTCATCCCGCAGCCAATGTGTCTCTGGGTGGGTCTGGTGCAGTCCACTGTCCTCCAAATTCCCGCGTGTCTGTGTGTGTGAGGCCGGCCGGGGGAGGCTCAGGGTCACTGAACGAAGACCCGTGTACCGCAGGCAGCTGAGGTCCCTGCACAAAATCGCACGCAGCAGGCGGAGCGCGAGGGCCCATGGCACTGAGCACGCGGCCCCCCGCCTGCTCCCAGTCTCTCGGGACTCCTGTGGCAGGCTTCCAGCTGAGGGACACATACGCCTGGGGACCGGCGGAGCGCCTGTGGTTTGGGGAAGGCCGGCTGTCCTCTGCGAACCCACAGCATCTCCGGTGGTCCCGCTTCCCAGCAGTGAGCGCCCGTGACGGCCTTGTGGGCATCCATCTAACTGGGTGAGGGACAGCCCCTCAGCCTCCGTGATGCATACTGGCAGCAAAGGTCCTCCCAGCCCGCGATTTCTGGACGCCTGGATGTGAGGGCGTGGTAGAGCTATATACGGGGTCCCCCTCACTGCTAGCCCGTGTGCACACGCCCCGAAATGAGCAGGCTCCGTGGGCCCCATGGCAGCCGAGATCTGTGCCTCAATCCAGGCGGTTCAGCTCTGCTCTGGCTGCACAGCCCTTCAGGAAAGCCTTACCCTGAATTTCACTGAGGAAACAGGCTCACATGGTGGGGAGGGCAAGGCCCCAGGCCCCCCTCCCCGCTCCTTCCCCCCAGCCTCTTACTGTGCCTTCCCCGTGGCTGGAGGCACCTCTAAGGATGCAGGGAATTCCCGGAAAACCCACCAATGAGCTCCAGCATCTTGTCCTCAGATGGGGACATTGACTCAAATACAGACACGTGTCCCTGAGCAGAGCAGAGGCTCCCAGGACTTGGACCAAGACCTTCCCAGGAGCCAAGCTGCATTCAGATCCGAGAAGCAGCAGCAGATCAGCCCTGCAGGGACCACTCCCACCTAAGTGCTGCATTCCCACAAACCACAGTTCTCCCCAAAGAAAATGCGCCGTCGGGGCCAGCCACCTTCCTCGGAGCTTTCCTGTGTGATGGGCAGAGGAGGTGAGAGCGGGAGGGAAGGAGAGACGGGGAGAGCCCAGCTTCCCCGGACGGAGCCGGAGGCAGCCTGCTGACAGCTGGACACGGGACACAGGTGTTTCCACTTGGAAGTCAGCCGCCCGAGCCCTCTTGTCCCGTGTTTCCAGGAAGGAGATGCAGAAATACAACGTGGATCTTACGGTCAGCAACACCCATCAGGAACTCTCCCTTCGGGGGCCAAATGAGAGGCCCGAGCCCTCCCTGGCCCTCCTCCAGCGCAGAGCCTGGGCTCCAGAGTGGGCGCCCCGCCGTCCGCGCTGCCCCGGCTCCCCTGCGGGAGCGGCGCAGCGACACCTGCCGTGGGAGCACAGATGGGCCCGGGACCCGGCGGTCATCGCCCAGAGCCCCGACTCGGCCCCGAGCACTCGCCCAGCCCGGGGCCTGGTTCGCAGCTGTGAGGTCAGACTGACGGGAAGGGGCTCGCCGGCCGCCGTGGAGAGGGTCAGGGAGGCAGGGCACGTGGGACGCGGCAGAGCGCCCGGCACGTGGGCCTCTAGCTGGTGCGGGGGGCTGCGGGGGCCCTGGCGGTAAGGAGGGGACAGGCTGGAGGCACGCGCAGCTGGACCGCGGCCAGAAACGCCCGGAAGAGCCACGGCAATGGCGCACGGGGGCGCCTGGCACCGGAGGGCCTAAGCCACTTCACTTCCTCTCAGTCCCCCAGCAACAGCGATGACAAGGTCCCAGCTGGCACTGACGCCCCAGGACACCCCAGCTCTCCGAGGGTCAGAGCTGGGGTGCAGGAGGCCCGGATGTGCAGGGAGTGGCGGGGGTGCTGTCCCCATGCCCTGGCTCACCACACAGTTCCTCCCGCGAGAAGTCCTGTCGGGGAGGTCTTTTGCGCCTCCCAGGAGTTCCTGTGCAAGGCCACTGCCCAACCTGGTCTCTTATTTCAGTCCCTCCTCCCCCAGGGAAGAAGTCAGGGACTGAGACCTCGTGGGAAAACCCAGCCAGTCAAGATGCCGAAAGGGGACGTGGAAGAATCAAAGGGGAGCAGGACCCAGGGGCCGCGTCAAAACTTAGCCCAGCTGCACGGGACTGCATGCCTGTTTGAATGCTGGGAAGCTTTGGGGCCTGGGGACCCCAATTTCTCCCTTCTAACATCGTCACCTTCATGGGAGACCAGACCTCGGTCTGTGCCTCCCAGCAGGACCGCACGGTCGCCTGCAGACAAGGTGGGGACCAACCGACTCCTGTCTCCTGGGTCTGAATCTGGTCCCCTAGCCCACTTCAGTGTTTCTTCCAGGTGGAGGACGCAGCCTCCCTCACATCCGCCCCCAGTCAGGTCCCAGGAGGAGGCTCCAGGAGGGACGGGCCCCTCAGAATGAAATCAACCCACGTGGACGCAGACCCTGGGAACTGGGCGCTGCTCAGCCCCAGACAGTGGACGCTGTGGGCGCCAGGCTGTGTTCCACTTGGGCCAGGTCTCAGCCACGGCTACAGAGCAGGAGGGACACACAGTGTAAAAGTGACCAGGGCCAGAGTCAGTTTCTCTACCTTCAGGGCAGCTAGTGGTGGCGGAAATTTAACACAATGCTGTCACTCAAAGAGGGAAGGGCAGTGAGAACACTGGCCCCACACGGTCTCCACACAGCCCTGCTGTCCCCACCGTCACCCCTGCACACATGGCCTGTCCCCACCTCCGCTCTCTGGCATGCTCACCCGCACGACCAGCCGCAGCCGCTCCCGTGTGGGCAGCACCACCAGGACATCCCTGTGCTCCGCCGTCATCTCCCGTCCCGGGGTCGCTCCCGCTGGCTGCACGCGGGATCTCAGGAGCAGGATCCCCTCGTCGCCTCCTGCGGGAGAGAACTCACTGGACCGAGCCCGGGCAGCCAACAGCCTGCATGCCACTGGAGGGACAGGTGCACATGTCACCACCCTCTTCTGCCATCCATCCACAGGTGGGACGCTGTACCCCCAAATTCACCCAGCTGTGGGCTTCCCGGGGACGGGCGCTGGCTGAGCTCCTGGCTGGGAAACCCGGCGGCGGTGCCCGGACAAGGTCCAGAGTCATAAAGAGCGGGCCGTGTGCAGGTGGCTGGAATGCAAATAAACACCAGGCTGGCACCGCCCGGCCTCCAGCCGACCCAACCACCCAGGGGCCCTTTGCAGGCTCCGGCCGCAGCCTCCCTGTTCATCTCCTTGGTTCAGGGACTGAATGTCAGGTGCCCAAAGCCCATTACCCGGATCCCAGACCCAGGGCTGCCACCGAGGACCCTGCAGGAGCTGGAGGGGCCGCCAGAGCTCAGAGGATGCCTGGCAGAGCGGCCTCCCTCCCCCACTGCACCCTTCCTCCCGTCCAGAGGCAGCAGCAGTGCTGGACCCCAAACAAGGCCCAGTGCAGACCTGCTCTGAGCCCCTTTGGGCCGTGGCCACTGCCTCCTGCCCGGCCTGCGAACACCTGCTGCAGGTGAAGGCGGGGGTGGCAGGGACCATCTCCCACCACAGAGGGTAAGCTGAGCCGGTGAACTGTGACCCCCCTGGGAAGAGCGTGTTGAAGGGCGAGGTCCTCACTTGGCCACAGAACCAGAGAACAACCCCCTTCCAGGGGCTTTGGAGCCTGAAGGCCCAGCCAGCACCCTGGGTGTGCCCATTACTGGGTGAGCCAGGAGGGGTCCTGAGCTGTCCCCCTTGGGAGGGACTGGGGAGGCATTTATCTGACAGACACAGGAGGCTGTGTGAGGCGCCACTGGGCAGCTCCCAGGGAACTGGGTTCCCGCTGTCCCTCTGTGGGGTCAGAAGGCGTGGAGAGCAGAGTGACAAGGAGGTCTCTGCCTGGCTCCGCCTGCCTGCGATCCCCCATCGGCCCAGCTCTCCATGCCCCACGTGAGTCCAGGACACCACTGCCATCTTCTCTCTCCAGGGGTGGACGCAACACTATTCTCATCCAACATGCGTGTCCTTGCAGCTGGCCACTGAGTGACTTTTTGAAGTGTCCAAAGAGCCGGAAAGCAGGTACCAGACCCCCGCTGTCCCCTCAAGTGCGCCCGAGCTGCTCCAGTCACTGGCCTGGGACCCATGACTGAAGCTCACTGGCGTTCCTGCTGACGAAGGAAACTGCCCCTTTCCACGAATGTCCGAGCACACGGGGAGGACTCGAGGGAGCAGCGCACCTCCGCAAAGCACGCGCACATGTGCACACACGCACACGAGCACACACACGTGCGCACATGCGAGCACACGCACACCACACACACACGCAGGAGCCCTGAGGCGGGGGAGGGAGGGGCACAGGAGTGAAGACTCTGGATACTTAGTCTTGGTCCTCTGTCACCAAATGGGCCTGCCAAGAATGTTCTAGAAATAAAGCCTCTGAACCATAATTCCAGAAAGCACAGGCTTCACAAAACAAGGCAGGAGAGCCACTCAGCAACAAAGGCGCGTGGCCCTGATACGGGCACAGGGAACAGAAAGCCGTGCCACTGCAGGGACACACGTCTGGGTCCAGATTCCATGAACTCACAGAAAAGGCAACAACACGCAGAGACGCAGAGAGCAGGCCCGCGCTGCCCGGGCTGGAGGCTGCCGCCCAGGGTGTGGGACGTCCCACAGTCGGACAGTGGTGGCTGCATGTCGTAAACTTACTAACACACACTCAACTGTTCACTTAAAGCGAGTGTATTTTATAGCATGTAAATCATACCTCAATAACTCTATTAAAACACGTTATAAAATACTGGAAAATCACAGAAAGTCACTCAACAGACGGCACCAAAGGCATCTGCCAGAGGTGCCCCTTCCCGGCAGGTGTGTGCGTGTGGCTGTGTATGCACACGAGCGTGAGTGCGCGCGTACCCTGGGGACAGAGGACGCTGGCAGCCGGCCTCTCCTGCACCATCAGGAGCGTGTGGGCCCTTCCGTGTGCCCCACCTGCCCTTTGGAGGCGGCCCTGAGGGTCACAGTGACACATTCTGGGGACAGGGGGTCTGAGTCCGGAGGCCGAGCTGCATCGCTAGAGGCCTTCCGCCAGC